ACTCTCACATTCGCTTCACTTTCTCTTTCTCTCTTACATATTCCCTATTTCACATTCCCTCGATTTCACATTGTCTCATAATCATTCTATCACATTCATATTCATTCTCTCATATTCATATTCATTCTTTCATATTCACATTTTCGCTAACAGACACGTTTTCTCTGCTCTCACATTCACATTCCCTCCAATATTCAAATTCTCTCGCACATTCTCATTCTCTCTCTCTTTCATATTATCCTTCTCACACTCTCTCGGGAGTAATTATCTGTTAAGTGATAGTAGCCCTAGTTACCTGGCCCTTTGATACGAATGATACTTCAGACAATCTTTTGACAAAGAGATTATTTAAACATACATATGTCGCGTATAATATAAATCGGATAAATAGAAAGATCAGCCTTAGTTGCACATGAATATATTTACTGAAGAAAAGTTGTAGATACAACATTTGCAGTGTCGTCATCTTTAATTACTGAAGTTGAGGACGTAATACCTTCAGCTCATTGATAAAGATTATAACGAATGAACTATTATATGGATATTTACAATTAGTCTATAATTATATTATAATTATATACTTATATATTATCTAATTATACATTATGCAATTATAATTAATCACGATATTTCCGAACGTCCACTGGACATAAGTTAAGAAGGGCAATATATAACGGCCGAATTCGAAGGCCAATTAATTCCAAGAAAATTCTATAATAGAGAACCTGCATTCCATTCAACTTTCAAGGTTTGACATTTTTTTAAATGCAGGAAACAGGACACCACTTTTGATATCATTCGAGATGAAACTCAATTCATATTGAAAGTTCTTAAGCAGGTTTAAAAAACGCCCTTCGAAGCTGGGTTACATGACGTGACATTCTTCAGACGACGATATTTAAAAATCTGGGGCCATACTTTCAAAACTAGCTAAGTGAACGTAAGTACTTACGCTCTATTTTCTTGTCTATGATTGGTGGATTTTGCTTGAAAGGCCGTCAATGATTGGCTGATGAACTTACGATCTCTTAACTTTTTTGAAAGTATGGGCCCTGTATTTTACTAAGTGCATGGCAATGGCTTGTACCAATTCTTCTTTTGTCTAAGTGGTAGTAGACCCTCATTGATCAGAACAATGCCTCCCTTGGGAGCTGCGCAAAACCTTAATAATGAAGCTGTAATTAACACTACGTTTTTCAAACCTATAAACCTCATGCTATATTTCTATGCTTGTTTCATATGTGAATAAAATCAATAAGAAGTTAACTGAGATTCTTGTTTCATGAAACGAATAAACGAATATTGAAATTGGAGCTAATTTTATCTACTGAGTGAGGCAAATTGATAATTTCCAAGTAAGATCAAAATAACTAAATTCAGTATTAAATTCAGTGGTCTCCATACGGTTTATTGTAGTTCAAAAAATGAAATTGCATAATTTTGCAATATTGTTCAAGACGGGTACATATTTAACATACGTATAACACGTTTGAATTTAAAAAAAAAACGAGAAAAACTTTAGAACAATGAATGTTTCATCTCTTTGTTACCACAAAAAGAAATGTTATAATTTATCAACAGAATCAAGAGTGGCAGGTCTCTTTCTCCGTGGCATGAGACGAACACAAAACCGATCCTCACAAGAGCCGCGGTCACTACGGCGATATCGATCACAAATGAACGCTGAATATGCGAGTATAAAACTTTCCATATAGAGCGAAGCTTGTAACATGACGGTGCTTTTCTGATTGCATTTGATTGTCGAATTCTGATTGCATTTGCTTCCAACTCACGAAGAGAAAATGGTGAAATATTACAAATGCGAGTAAGCAGAATGAAAAATTCAATATATTTATTAGAAAGTGCACATTCAAAAACATTCATAAAATGAACGTGATAGAAATGGAAGAAGAAAACCACATCGAAGTGCTATAAATGAGCGAAATTTAGTTTAGTCCTAACGGTTTTCCGTCGTAATCGGTAAAAATGAAACGGAGATAATATAAGTCCCAGAAATCCATTGAGCAAGTTTCTTAAGCAGACGAGCTTCACTTATGACACATCACAGTGCATAACAAACGTGTAAAAATCGCACTGGAAATCTACGCAGCAACCGCAAACATATTACACAATAGCCGGGGCACAAGAGCTTTGTTGGGCATAACAGTCAAAGAAATTGCACCAGAAACGCAACTTGCAGGAAGCCACCGCGAGAAAAGAAGAACGTTGCATGTCACTGAACTAACAATGGCTTAATTTCCCACGGCTATCGCCAGAGTCGTCTAAAATGCCCGAGCGGTGAAGCTTTTGCATAGAACGACATATTATACAAGTGAGCAAGTAAAGCGCCGTCTCTTAACAACATTGCATAATGCACGTAAAGTCAGTCCTGCCACAACAAGGTGCGGGCATTCTACTGATTCAAAATGAACTACAAGATGCTTTATATGCGTTAAATGCCAGTAAACCACAGCAGATGGGAAAGGAAACACATCAAAAAGAATCAATGAGATGTGAATTTTTCATGCAAAAAAAAAACATGGCGGTATCAATTTTAGTTTTAATTAATAGAAGCTAAATAATGATCCGAAATAAATTTATGGCGAATTTGAAGTAAACGAATTGCATCAACTAATTATCTTCTCGTGAAGAACACAAAAATAATGAACGAAAAAAAAACGTTAATAATTTGACAGCTGTCTACACAAAAATCAGTCATGCACATTACATAAGCGCTTCGAAGGTGCGTATGCAGCCAGCTGCGTGGGGCCTCTCAAAATCGACCACGACCTGAAACGCGGCACCAAGCCGACCCTTCTACGGGAACCAAGAGCACTTATGTCCTTGCCGCCCTATATAAGACCAAGCGCACACGTATTACCGTGCTAGATCACGGCAACGATGCTTTGTAGTCAATGCCAGCCATCGGTCAGAGGCTACGGACTCGCGTCACATGGCTCGAGGCGAGTGACCCGAGAGCGGGTATGTCTTCGTTCGTAAGACTGATGCGTAAGAGGAAAGCTGTCTCCAAGTGCGAGCACGGGAGAAGTAACCTGCACACGAATTAAGTCATTATTCGTATGACTAACGGGTGAGAGGAAAGCTACAGCTCAGAGTGCGAGCACAAGAGAAGTAACTTGCACGCGAATCAAACCGTCGTTCGTAAGACTGACGGGTGAGAAGAAAGCTAGCTTCGAGTGGAGTAATCTGCACACGAATCAAGCCGTCGTTCGTAAGACTGACGGGTGATAAGAAAGCTAGCTTTAAGTGGAGTAATCTGCACACGAATCAAGCCGTCGTTCGTTAGAGAATAAAGAGTGAGACCTTGAGTTATGCATTGCGGTTGATCCGATCGATGGAATGTCAAATTCGAACGCACGAGCGTGATATACAATAGAGCGCCCATTCCGAAGGAAAATTTCGCGACTGCACGAGCAACTGATGAATTTTTACCCGACTTTTTCAATCACTACGGTAAAGTCAATATTTCTTACATCATTTTATTGCACGCAAAAATATTTCTTCAATTGTGTTTTAGTGATAAGTGGTATACTCATTATGGTTGAATATCACATAAATGAACATATCAAAAAGATAAACAGGGAGTTTCACAAGTTTTAGATTCTATCACCTGAATTTCACTCTTGCTGGTCGCTTACAAAGAAACAAATAAACTAAACTTCCATAAAAAGAAAATAAATACGGAAGATAAGAACCCTTTAGAGAAATGAAGCAGGTAAGGAGCGTATCGCATGCACAACAACATATGCGAGCGAGCGCTACACGTACAGCAACCCCTCGATAACACGCCATACGCATACGCCTGCACGTCTCGGCAGCTAAGCACTCTTCCTTCTACCTAAACTTGGCGATAAGCAGAGATGCGCACGAGTTCCCGTGCCACAATTTGGTGTTCAGTAAAACACAGAAAGTTCGTATGTCAAAAAAGTTCCTTCAATTTTTGTTCTCGTGTAAAAGTGGGAAATTATAATGGATGACTAAATTCGCACACAAAATCAAATGAAATCACATTGCTGAGCGAAACAACCGATAACGACTAAAAATGGTGAATCAGAAGGATCAAAATCATAAAATGATGGCTTTGATTAATCGTGCTCTCGTGAATTCCGAATCTTGAAAAATAACGACGTGTCAAATTCGTCAACCCGGCGATCATGCTTTTTTACAATAAGTGTATTTGCCATTATGAGAGTTTAAAATTAAGCGGCAATTTAAAAATTAAATAATGCGACGCAACATTTGAATCAAATGCCATGGTAGTATCGAAACAGAAAGTCAGATTGAATGTTCCTAAAAAGCGGCTATTATCAAGCTAAATCCTGAACGGAAACTGTCTGTATTCCAGCCACATTCACGCTCCTCATTGCAACGCGTTACCGCGGACGACAGGCTCGGCAATCGCTGCATCTCGTATCCAGCCTACGGCGCAACACTCACTTCCGTGCTACCAAGCTAAGCAGTTTGTACTCACATTCGTGCCAGATGATACTGGTGGTGCCATCTATGGAATTAAATGTATAACATCGAAGAGGTTCGGTAGATGCAACTATAGAAAAAAATATAACTCAGTACTCACTGCAGTGAGTGACAGAGAGCGCATTTTTTCGTCGACGAAAACTTGAGGTCACGAACAGACGGACAGACGGACGGACGGACGGACGGACATGGCGAGCACAATAGTGCAATTTTTTCCATAAATGAGAAAATGAGCGAAAAAGGTTAAAAAGCAATGTAAATTAACACTGGAACGGTCAAGTTCAACGTTGGTTACAGATTAACGGAAGTCGTCGCTCTGTTTACGCAAGAGCTGCGGCATGCAAACTTCCAGAAGCTTGTGCGCTAAAGGAATGCTAACTAATGCACGTGGTGATCGGGCAGGCAATTACATAGCGCGCATTGAGCATAGTATAACAATTCGTGAATTTTTGATATCAGCATAATCTTTGCATATAGATTAATATTTCTACTTATTCTTCTAGGTGCGGTCAAGCGCTGTTGCAGAAACCGTAGCGTCTGAAATGTTGGAATCAGACGAAGAGGGAAGCTACGACCCCGAGGCGGTCTTCAGGCTGATGGAAGCAGCAAGGTTGAGCAGGCGTTTGAAATATCAAGAAAATGACACAACCACCTTGCCAAAAAATCATTTAATTTCACAGAGTGATAGCGTTCAAGACCGACAGCTTTCGTTTAGAGAGCAAGTTTCTCGGGGAAAAATGGAGGGACATGAAAACCCAGGCAGTGCAGAAATTTTAAACTTGGGAATGATCAAGACGAGTGATTCAACAACAACGGAAACTTATACCATTAGCAAGGAATCTGCATATGTTAACGACACTGACGAATTAACTTCCAGCAAAACATCACATCGAGAAGATAATATTGAACCTACTGAGGAAAAGGAAACTTCTACTTTCATAAATTCCAAGCGTAGAAAAACAAGAAGAAAACTTACGTCGAAAAGAAAAATTGATGGAATTGAAGCGTCATTGATGAATGCTAAGGGAAACGAAGAAAGACTACAAAGCATTCTTTCAAAATATGATTTAAAACCACATGCTTCACTGACCACACCAGCCTACGACGAAAAGCTCGAAAATAAAACCAAAACCGACGCAGAAAAACATATCGACAAACACAACACTGCTACAGAGAACAACAGCACAAATGGTTCGGTAGAAACTCCACTACAGGAGAGAAAAGTCACTTCGTCAACTAGAAATCAAAGTTCCTATGTGATGATGACTCCAAGAGAAATTACAAAAGAAAAACTCGATGAGAATGCCCGAAACTTGAGGCTCAGACGACTAACACCAAAAACCAGAATTGGATCTCAAAATGGCTCAAAATCAGAAGAAAGCCTTGAAAGGAAATTCGAGCAGCCAAAAGTGAATGACGTGAAGAAATTGACATTACATCATGGCAATGATAGTAATCGATTGCGCAGTAATTATTCAGGAAGCAATCAAGACACTTTGAAATTGAAATTGGATGACTTCGTAAAATCTAACTCACAATCAAAAGAATCTACAAATCTTGATTTATTCCCAATATACGAACAAGACAAAGAAGGGCTTATTGCAATTGTGTCGTCAACTACCTCAAGTCCACAAAGAGATTATGCTAATAAAAGAGTCCAGGAATCAACGATGAAAAATAAAGAAAGCGACGAGTCAGATATCGAAAAGTACGTCGGTGCGTCCTCAACAGACGCCCGGCAAACGAACGACGAAATAAGAAACGGACCCATATCTGATTATCAAGAAACTATTCAATATTCCAAGAATATCACTTCACTCCCAGACAATCATGATGCAGCAGACAACTATCAACTTTCCGAAACCCGGGCAAATCATCAGAAAGCTGCAGGTACCAACGTAGTAGAATCAGTCACTGCAGGAAATTTGGGTACGGACGCTCGACCGAAATTGTCCGACGCCGATGTCCGCAAAAAACTGAGATCGAGACTTACGCCTGAGCTTAGAAAATCCATCTTGCAGAGAAGTGCGAGGCTTCGAGCGAGGCGCCAGCATAATAAACAGGTATTGTACAGTAAAACTTATAATTTCTTTAAGCATGATTTCGAATTGAACATTAATCTGATTTAAACATGATTTTCATAATAAAATAAATTTACCGGTGCATATATTTGTTATAGTCGAAGGGAAAATATGAAAGGGCAATAGACAAAATGAATACCCTTCCATTATGCCCACACTGTAAATTATCGAAAACCGTTTTTAGATCGATTATTCAATAAGTTGAACAATGCACTGACTGCACGATTGTATTTCCATTGTAAAGAGTACGTAGAAATATATCATCAGCAATATAATATATAATAGAACGTTTGACGTTCATATCCCATAGCATGGTAACGCCTCCACAATCAACGCTCCAGCAACAGAGGGTGAAATGGACGAACTTAGTACGAGGTAAGCTTTAATGTATTCGAATATTATTTCACCTCACATTGTTGTGGACCACCAGGTTCGCATGAACTGTTGTAATGAATAAAAGTCTTTTCTGGTCAAGATATACTTAAAATCCAAC